GTATGCTCAAATAAACTCGTTTTGCTGCTAAAATAACTAGCTGTTTTATTTTTAAGGCTGACAGATTACAAGTAGACGGTATGTATATATCTAAATTCTCATTACCCTTAAGTTAAAATATCCATTAGAAGAAGGGCAAGTGCTCTCTAGTTATCAATAATAACAATAATATATCTTATACTTGTGTAGAGTTTTTTCACTTACAGTTTCAAATACAGTATCTCACTAGACATCTTTGCTACGTTTGGACGTCTTGAAATGTGTCATGTCCTTGGCCTGTGATACTCCTCTCCTGATTCTTCACTGGTTTCCATAATACTTCTGTCTAGGTCCTCTCCTCTGCCTATCGTTATTGGTCTTCCCAGAATTCCATCCTTGACACTGTTCTCATGCTCTATTAGAACCACCCACTCACTTGCATGGTTTTCACTACTACCATCATCATTCTAGCCACTCTCATTTCTTTATCTGCCTCACTTTTGGCCCTGAGCTCTGGACTCATATTTTCAACTACTTGCTGGGCATATGAATGTATGTTTGGATGTAATAGGTTCTTCAAACTCACAACTAGTCTCTAAAGATGGTTTTTCTCTTTCACCGTTTGCCCCCTTCCTCACTGAGCTCCAGCTGCACCGACCTGGTGGTTATTCCCCCAGTATGCCAGCCGCTGTCTCAGCACCATTACATTTGCTCTTCAGGAAATTAAGTACTTAGAACTCTTTCCCTCAGATATCCTGATGACTCATTCAGAACTCTGCTCTAATGTCCCCTCTTTAGAGAGGCTTTCCTTGACTACTCTCTCTAATATCACCATCCCCTTTCACTCTCCTTCCCTTACTCGATTTTTCTTCATTGCACTTGTTACCACGCAATATTATATACATCTTTGTTTATTGCCCATCTCCCCCACCAGAATATAAGTTCAACAAGGGCAGAGTGTTCATATCGTTCACTCCCATGCCAGGTACATAAGCTGGTGCTCAACAAACTTTTGTTAAATGACTTGACTTGTAACCTTTATACCCGCCCCAGACTCCTCCTCTTTGTGTGCTTTGGTTCCATTTATAGCATACTCCTCCGTCCAACAAATTACTCACCCCAGAAGTGTGGACGTCATAGGTTCTGACTCCTTATCGTAAGTCACTCATGGAAGTGTTTGATAGTATACCTAGAACCAGGACTGGAGCAAGAGTACAAATGGAGGCCTGCCCCCTTCCCCTATTCTGGCTTTGTCCTGTTCCAGGAGGGCCCTTATGTCCACATGTGTGGCTATCCAACCTGCAGGTCCAGGCTCTGTCCATCCTCCCAAACCTAAGGCCTAGGGATACACACAGGTGGCTTGGTTTGCCCTCAAGAAAACAAACCTGGGGGGGACCAGCCCCCTGGCGTAGCGGTTAAGTGCGCACACTCCACTGCTGGCGGCCCAGGTTCGGATCCTGGGCACGCACCGATGCACCACTTGTCAGGTCATGCTTTGGCGGCATCCCATATAAAGTGGAGGAAGATGGGCACAGATGTTAGCCCAGGGCCAGTCTTCCTCAGCAAAAAAAAGAGGAGGATTGGCATGGATGTTAGCTCAGGGCTGATCTTCCTCACACACAAAGAAAACAAAACAAACCTGGGGAAGAAGTGGGCTGTTTGGGCAAATAATTCCAAGGTCCTGGATACCTGGAGTTTGTGATCTAGAAGGGGAGTGGGAGGTATGAGCTCTGGATGGCCACGTCCCCTTGGCCCCATGGGAAAAGGTGCAACTGGAGGAGGGCCGGCTCAGGGAGGTGGCCCCATTACTCTGGTCTAATGGCAGTGCTACCTGGGCTAAAACCCAAACTCCAATAAGAGTGGATGTACTGAAACAAGAGTGAAAGTATGCTTCTTCCCTCCCTTGCCTAAAAACCAAAGATTACAGTTTTATGACTCAAGAGCTATCAATGTGGAGACTTAGAAAAGGAAACCCTGGGGTCAAAATCCTATCAGAAAATTGGACTTCATCAAACTTTAAAACTTTGGTTTTTTGAAAGACACTATTAAAAGAATGAAAAGACAAGCTAAAGACAGGGAGAAATATTTGCAAAACATATATCTGATAAATGACTTGTACCCAAAATATATAAAGAACTCTCAAAACTCAATAAAAACAAAGGATCCAAAACTTTCATTAGATTCTCAAAGGAATCTGGATTCTCCCCAAAATGTTAATAACTATTGGTTTATATGCTCCGCTTGGAGAATTCAGAGATTGACCAGAATCCTGCCCAAGCTCCCTCTATTGAGTGCCTGCCTTGCAACATGTCTGCAAAGTTGCCATAAAAAGAGTCTATGCCTAGATAACCCTCCAAAGATGACACTGATTCATCAAGTACAGGAGCTGTCAGGGTGTCTTTATCCCAGCTGTACCTGGGGGTGTCTTAGATGGGTCACATCGCCTCTGGGAGCCTTCTTCCTCTTGCATAATGCTCACCAGGTACGAAATGACAGAATTTCTACAGTTCTTTTATGAGTAACATGTGTGGTGACAAATCAGAAATGAATTCACCGGCCCTGCTGAAGGGAAGAAGGTTATACACATTCTTCTCTCCTTTATCCAAGAAAGATGTGTTGCCTGCCTACTCTAAGTCAAACATTTGCTAAGAGTTGAAGATACAATGGTGAGCAAGATACAGTGACTTCTTCAAGGATATCAAAGTCTAATGGAGGAGATTACAGGCAATTACAAAACAGGGATAAAGTGCTCTGATTGGGCTAAACCCAAGGAACAGGGGGCCGGCCCCATAGCTTAGCGGTTAAGTGTGCGAGCATCGCTACTGGCGGCCCGGGTTCGGATCCCAGGTGCACTCACACACCGCTTGTCTGGCTATGCTGAGGCAGCGTTCCACACACAGCAACTAGAAAGATGTGCAACTATGACATACAACTATCTACTGGGGCTTTGGGGAGAAAAAGGGGGGAAAAAGGAGGAGGACTGGCAATAGATGTTAGCTCAGGGCCGGTCTTCCTCAGCAAAAAGAGGAGGATTGGCATGGATGTTAGCTCAGGGGTGTTAGCTCAGGGCTGATCTTCCTCACACACACACACACAAAAAGCTTTAAACTCAAGGAACACTGAAAAGGAACACCTGACCCAGTCTTGCGAGATCAGGAAAGGTTTCCTAGAACAAGTTAGGTATGAGACCTGAAGGAAGAGGAGTTGACCAGAAGAGTGGAGAGAAAGAGATGCAGCTTGGAGAGCATTGCAAGTGCAGAGAACTGAAGCTGAGGAAGGCAGCAGAGGCCAGATCGTGATGACCTCCTCAGACATCACAAGGAAGGAGTTTCATTGTTTGCCGCTGGCAATGGGAAGCATGAGAAGGTTTGACACAGAAGCGCAGCATGAAGGGATTTGCCCTTCAGAAAGATCATTCTAGCTGCAGCAAGAGAGAACAGACCGAAGGGGTTGAAAATAGGAGAGGAGACTCATGAGGAGGTTGTTTCACTAAGCAAGATGTGGCTTGGTGGCGGTTTGAATGATTGCAGCTAATATTTTGAGCCTCATTCTTTCATTTAATCTTTGCAACTCTATGAGGTACACATCATTACTCCCATTTTACAGATGGGAAATCCAAGGAATAGAAAAGCAAAGTAACTTGCCCAAGGTCACATGGTAAGTGATGGTAGTCGAAAGAGCGAGGTAAGCGGATTTGAGAAATATGTAGGAGGTGGTATGGTCGTGACTAAATGAGTAATTATTCAGTTAATTTTCATTATTTTTTATTTATATTATTGATTTGGGGAGGGTGGCTAAAGGAGCAGGAGTCTGAGTCAAGTATGATGCGCACTTTTCTAGCTTGGCCACCTAGGCAACGACAGAGTTAGGAAAGAAAGGAGAAACAGGTGAGGAGTAGCGGCAGAGAGTGGTCAGCTCAGTGTGGGGCTGATTTTAAGGTGCCTGGGCATAATTCCCAAGTGGAGATGTTTTCACAGCAGCTGTAGGGGATGGTGTGAGACTAAGTGAGATTCTGATGTCACGAGCCTCAATCTCTCCCAGAAGGAAAAACAAAACCACTTTTGGAGAAGCTGAAAATGATACAAACTTTGAACAGGAAGCATTTAAGAGAACAGATAATACAATGGGATTAACTACCAAACAATTTTAGGTCATTACAAGGGTAGTTTTCTTCTATTAATTTTACTCCTCAATTGTTTTTCACTAACGACCTTTTATCTTGAAGTCTAGATAAGAAGGGCCCAAGCCTGCTACTCCACTGCAGAGATGGGTATCTAACCAACGCTTCAAAGAGCCCATTTCTCCCAGGGCATAGGAACTCCTTTTCCAACAATACTAGGGAACCATTTAACAAATTACCATTTCAGTGCACTCAGTGGTGTCCTAATGGCCTGGAAGCACAGCCCTAACGAACTGTTAGCTTCCTAGAGAACAGCTCACACAGGAGGAAATCTGCTACCATTATAGTACCGGCGAAATATCAACATATCAAATACCCTTAGAGGGGAGGATCCAGGTGAATTGCTGCAGGTAAACCAGCATTTTCCTTTAACTTTCCTTCCCAAGAAATAAAAAATGCTGAACATGTGGAAAGGAGAAAAAGAGTTTTAAAAAATGTTTTGATAAAATCTCTTTGTTTTCCAAGACTCAGCTATGGGGTTAATGAAAATTTTTCTTTCATATTTGTATTTTTGCCCAATTTAAAGCACTTCCACTCCCTACCTCTGCCTAGACTGACTCTCCATTTTAACAAAAAAGGCTTCACAAAATTACTTATAAGTAATTTGAAAATTGTGGCCACACCCTGGTAGAACATAATCACTGCCTTAGGCAGACTGTGCAACTCTGTCATGAATAGAGAGCTTTCGGCTGTTTTTAAGAGTATCTCTGTTCTGGGATCCCAACACCAGTTCAGTAGAAATTGTTTTAGTATTCTTATCAGATACCCAAAAATATCTCCTTAAAGCAACAAGGCCTCCTCTCATTTTTCATCTTGGATGTGGTTGTTTTCTGGTTTTTTCATTCTCCAAAGCCAATGAATCACCCATACCAAATATTTCCACGTTGCTTTGCCACCAGCCTAATCTTCACAGGAAACTGTCCAGGCTTTTGCATCTTCCCAAAATATGGTAACATCCAGAGCTCACCAACATGTGAAGAGGCTGTACTTCCAAATTTCCACAAGAACGTCTACACAAATGCATCAATGTAAAGACAACTGTGCCCAATTTTAATGAATCTGATGAAAAGACATTTTATGAATCAGTGCTGGATTACTAAAATAATTCTCAGTTTTTTGATTTTAAAAATTATACTTTTAATTATAGAATATTATTAGAATAATACAGATGTAGATAGACACTAGGATAACTGTGACCAATACCATAAGGAAAACTGCTCTACGTACTTACTCGTTCACTCACTCTCCACAACCATAGAAAACAGGCACAAAGCATTCAGGGTATGTGCAGAAGCAGCTAGAGACTTGGGAGCAGAAGGCATGCAAAACGCATTAGCAGAGAGAATCTGATGCACAACTTCTACACAAAGTTCAGCACAGCAGATGGGCAGCAATTGGCAGAAAGAGAGGAAACAGAGCTGGTCTGGCCCTTGCCCTCTTAACTTCTCAGCTGGAGTGTACATATAGGGAGAGATGGCTGGGGCACTTAGAAGCCAAAAGCAGCAGCACGAACAGGCTGGGGTGGGGCAGGAGAGTAGGGAAGGAAAAGGGGGTGAAATACAGTTAGATCATGGAAATGCTGTCTTCTATGGCCACTCCAAAGCTGATGCTCGTAGCGGCTCACAGAAACAACAGGAGAACTCTGATATTCGTTAAAACCATCAGCAACACTGATACAGGAAAAAACATATTCGAGCTTAGTCATCAAGAACATGTAAGTCATTCAACAATTAAAATATGAATACCCAGTTGGCTAGATTTTGTATAGAACAAAAAACATGCCCCCTGCCCGAGTTTGTAGTTAAATAGGAGTGGCAACATAAAGAAATCTCCTTGGTGGAGTAGTTTTTTATTTTGTTACTTTCGAGGTTGTGCCATTTGCAAGGGATGCAGTCCCACACATCTGTGGGCCATAATAACTCACTATAGTACACTACCCAAGAGAGACCACTGGCTCCTTTAACACCAAGTACCAAAGAGCTATGGCAAAAGAATTTTTCAAATGTTACAACACTCACAATAAAGCACAGTAGAAATAACTTGGGGCATGCATGCGCCAAAAAAAAATTCCTCACTCCATCCCATCTCCTGGGCATCAATACTTTCCCACTCCCTTCTCCAAATGCTTGGATAAGCATCAACATTTGGGATATTTCTTAATTCCTATTTGGGCTGAGATAAGGAAAATTGACACTACTGGGCTTAAATTGGGTCAACCTTTACTTTAACCACTCATATCTGCAAGCTGGAAGGATGGAAATACATTCCTATCTAGGTTTATTAATTCCTTGTGACTAGGCCAAAGAGAAGATAACTCAGTCTGAGAACAGGACAATCAACCTATTTGTCCGGTCACGATCTCCCACAATTGACTGACACATATAGACAAGTGCTTAGTTCTGTACAAAGACAGATCTTACAGGAGAGTGCACACTAGAGCACCAGTGTTGAAATGTTTTTTCCATAAAGAAAGAAAACAAAGGACACTTCTCACATTGGAGTTATGTCTGCAGTTCTGTCACATGATCAACATCACCCAAGAACATGCTAATTCTGTGTGAATTCAGTTTCTGCTATTGGAAAAACCACAGGAATACATGTTTTCCTGTACAAACAGATGCCCTTATGCAAGCTAAGATAACGCTGGGATGTGGCCCTTATCAAATTCGAGAGTTAGCAGTATAGGGAGAATTGATCTGAAAGAAACATGACCTGTGTTCCTTGGGAAGGGGCTCTGTGCGTCCTTCCCTGAAGCGGTCAGTTCCACTTACACTCCATCATCACTTACGGTCCTATCTGTCCTTGAAGATATTTTCGCTACAATGTTCCCTACAGTGATCCCCAAAGAAAATTAATAAATTATGATTAATGGCAATAACAACAGCAGACATTTCTTGCTGAAGTCACCACCGCTGATGAGTCCTTGGTCCCCAAACCTGTATCTCATTTTTCGTCTCAATCTGTGTCTTCAGTTAGCTTTCACAAAGATGCAAGCTTTAAAAAAGTTGATTAGAAACAATGAGGAGAAAAGTTATGATCAGTGCCTTCATTGTGCAGAATCCTGCTCTCAGGAAGACAGAAAGATACAAACGCATGAGCAACTCAAGGGAAAAGCCCTTTGAAGGGGAAGATATGTGTGCCCAACTACCATGGTGAGTGAACAGGTATGGCAATTCAGGCAAAGTCTCTGGCTGTCTTTTTCCAAAGCAGCTGTGACCACCCTATCACAGTCCAACATTTCCCTTAGCACAGTTCTTTGACCCAAGGATGGGAGAAATAACTTTTAAAGATTTACTCCATTACCAGGCTCGAGCATTTACCAGCATTTATCCCCTGGTCTTCATATTTCCAGTTACTTGTGAGGCTGATTTTGATCAAGTCGTTCAAGTGAATAAAAATCACTGTTTGGGAGGAGGGGATAACATTCCAAAAGCTATGGGTCAGCATTTCAAGTGGCCTGTCTTCTTTGATGTTCTAAACCTTGGCCCACAACAAGGAAAATCAGTATGGTAAAAGCAGCTCAGTCCTGAGAGAGCTCTTTGATATCAAATAAAATTGTACCTTCAAATGAATCATTTCCGAGTCATCATAATTACAGGACTTAGTCGGTGTGAACTCTCTTATGTTTAATAAGAGCTGAGCTCCGGCTGAAACTCTTCTCACATTCTGTACATTCATAAGGCTTCTCCCCCGTATGAACTCTTTGATGAGTGATGAGGTTGGAGCTCTGGGTGAAACCTTTTCCACACTGCACGCACTCATAGGGCTTCTCTCCCGTGTGGGTTCTCTGGTGTTTAATTAGATCTGACCTTTCACCAAAGCTTCGCCAACACTCATTGCACTCGTAGGGCTTCTCTCCAGTGTGAATTTTCTGGTGTGTGATGAGATGAGAGCTTCGGCTGAAGCTTTTCCCACAAGCGTTACATTCATACGGCTTTTCCCCCGTGTGGGTTCTCTGGTGCTGAACCAAGTGTGAGATGCGGCTGAAATTCTCCCCACATTCATTACAGTGGTACGGCTTTTCTCCCGTGTGGGCTCTGCGATGGCGCACGAGGTCAGAGTTCTGACTGAAATTCTTCCCACACTCGTCACACTTGTAGGGCCTCTCCCCTGTGTGGACTCGATAGTGTTTGATGAGGTCAGATCTCTCACTGAAGCCTCGTCCACATTCGTTACACTCATAAGGCTTCTCGCCTGTGTGGGTCCTCTGGTGCTGAGCTAGGTGAGAGCTCCGGCTGAAGCTTTTCCCACATTCCTCACACTCATAGGGTTTCTCCCCACTGTGGGTCCTTTGGTGCTGGATTAGGTGAGAGAGCCGGCAGAAACTTTTCCCGCACTCGTTACATTTGTGGGGCTTTTCTCCAGTGTGGATTGTCTGATGCTGAATGAGGTGAGAGCTTCTTCCAAAACTTTTCCCACACTCATTACAGTCATAGGGCCTCTCCCCAGTGTGTGTTCTTTGATGCTGAATAAGGTGTGAGCTCCGACTGAAGCCCTTTCCACATTCATAACACTTATAGGGTCTGTCTCCAGTGTGGGTTTTCTGATGTCGATTAAGGTCTGAGATCTGACTGAAGGCCTTTCCACAATGAGAACATATATGATAGCGGATGCCTGTGTGGACTTCTTTGTGGACAAGAAGATCAGTGACTTGTTGGAGAGGATAGCTTACCCACTCTTCTGCTGTTAAATCTCCCCATTGTCTTTCTGATCTTTCCCTGCTTTCAAAGGCCTCTTCACTTTCAGGATTTTTCTCAGTATTCCCAACAGGTCTTTCAGACACGGTCCCAAATTCTACATCTTCACTCATCTCTTGTTTTGGATTCACCTCATTCTCACTCCTGATCTCAAAATCTGTAACAAAGGGTAAATAATAATACTGGTAAATGCACAAAGAATTATCTACTGTGTACCAGGCACTGTGCTAAGTTCTTTAAATGAATTACCTCAACCACCCTGAGAGTCAGGCCTTATGATGATTTCCACTTTATGACTGAGAAATCCAAGACCCAGAGAAGTGACTTGCAGAAGGTTATTTAGCAGTCATGGTGGAGCCAGGATTCAAATCCAGGCCTAATAAAAGCTCATGCTCTGTATCACTACCATTAATGGTTCTTTATGAAAATTATATATCTTCTTGGTTTCAAAAGAAAAAAACAACCAGAGACAGAAAATATAAGAGACTCTAAATTAGAATCTCTAAAAGCCAAGAGCCTAGAGATGTTTTCTAGATGAATGCATGTGTGTATGTGTATGTTCTTGTCAAGCGCTCATCATTACTATTACATGATATTTACTAAGAACCTACTGGGTTAGCATGGAGAAAAATGAATTTTTATCTACCTATATCAAGTCTGAGTTGACAGGAAAAGTGACTGGCAAATGTTACTTGCTACTTCCAGTGGCTTTTTATGGGAAATAGAGGTGGCAAGGCTGGGGAAGGGAAAAAAGATGCCTGGCTCAGAACATTCTTGGCATCGATTAAATACAGTCTTCAGATGAAAATCAAAATATACAACCACTGTCTACAAGAAAGTGTCTACCAGACACTGCCTTTTCCAAGTTGTGTTTCTTGGTGCACTCTTCAGAAAGAGGCTACTAGGTATGCTGGGAGACAAGGGTCTCTCTTCTTAGAAATTCACAATTCCTGATAACATATTACAGGGTCTGAAGAATCTTGAGGTAAAGAAGCATTGTAAACATTATTTAAGAATTTTTTTCTCCCTTTTTTTTTGGTGCTTCCATCCTTCTAACTAGTGTTCCTTGTGCTGGACCATACACATCTAAATTTAAATTTACATTTCTTTAAGATTCTCATTTCTTGTTTTTGTTGGATTGAGTGGAATATTTGGGTTACAGACTGCAATAGATCTGGGTAGATAACTTAATTTCTAGTTGCATTTCTAACGGAAGGATCCAAGAAATTTGGGACATCAGAGCTCAATTTAAAAAGGAAACCCTTCACAGTCACCTTTTGTTCTGGAAAAGGCTACAGGAATAAAGATTTCAGAAAAAGGATTAGTCTTAATGAGTGGCAGATGACCTAGTGAACATACATGACTGCTAACTTCTGTCAAGTCCTAACAGGAGACAAAGTGAGTCAGAAGACTGTTCAGCTCAAGAATATTACTGTCTATTCTAATTACAGCCAGATGAAAGGATAGCTAAAAGAACAGACAGGTTTGCAGACTATCAAAAAAATTAGCTACTGTCTCTAACAGAATCTGTGATCTCATTTAGTTCAGGATTCTCCTGGAACAACATCTGACACACTCAAAATCTATGATCAACTCTAAAACATCTCTAGACAAGTACCTACTCCAGATAAATAAAGGACCTGAGGCAAAGTTGGGGTTCTGAAGCCAAAACAAACACAAAAAGGTGGCTTTTGCCCTCCCTTGAACCTGGGTCAGATACCCCTCATCTTCTAGTAAGAGCACAGTTTACAGGGGCATTTATATCCTGGCAAGCACCATGATGTCAGACCTGTTTGGTCAGTGATCTGTACAAACAGGCTGGAGAATGGCAGATGACTCAGGGCCCAAGAAATCTGAATGTTTCTAAAATGTGCAGAAACATTCTTTCATTTTAGACAACATGACCTTCACGTTTCCACACTCAAAGATTTGCCTGAGGACTCAACTCAAGCCAATATCCAATTAAGTGCTTTAAAAATCAAACAACTAGGGTTGTGTTGAAAGAACTAAGCCATTTTTGACAGTCTCAAAAATGTGGGTTGAAAAAAGATAGAGAATCCTTACTTACCTAACGAGACAACATTTCCATAATTCTCCTGCATAACATCCCTGTAAAGGTCCCTTTGTGTAGGGTCCAGAGGTCTCCATTCTTCCCGGGTGAGGTACATGGCCATATCTTCGAATGTCACAGGTGCCTGAAATCACACAATGCTTCCTCATTACTTGGCATCTAGGAGGTTAGTACCAGGTTTTCTTCTTGAAATTAGAGATATGGCTAGAATTGTTGAGGAAGCAAAAGGTATTAAGTCTGATCTGTAGAGTGCAAAAAAATAAATAAATAAATAAACAAGCAAAAAAGAGATGTGGTAAAGAAGGGAGCAATTTACGAGCTGACTGCTTTGGTGGCATGACCTCATATCCCCGCCCTACTCTGGAACCTTATCCTAGCCATATATTTCTCAGAACACATCCAGCACCTACATCGCTCCATACTTTTACTCACAATGTTCCTCTTTTCCTGGAATACCTTTCTCAGACTAGTGAAATCCTACTATTCTTTAAGGCTCTGTTGCAGTACCAACTGTTCTTCAGTGCCCCTCATCCCTCGGCTCCACTCCACTCCTCCCTCGGACCCCTCTGATAGAATTAATCACTCTCACTTCTTGGCTCCCACACCACAGCAACTTTGTTCCATGGCAAATAGAGTTCTTATCACGTTGTATCACGGTTTACTGGATGCGTCTGTTTCCCTACAGATATGAGCAGGCGGGGAGGCCCTTTTCATCCATCTTCTGTCTCCCCATTATTTAAAGGTATACAGCAGGTATTCAATAAATGCTTGTTTGTGGCTATACTGGCCTGGTACCGGGTCCCTGGAGGCAGAATACCGAAGCGACCGAATTACTAACTCCAGGGAATTTCCCACCGGGATGTGCGGAGCAAAGAAATGCCGGGACGAGGTGGGTAAGCAGAGGCAGGGTCCCAGAAGCCACCCCCGGCTTACCTGGGACCCAGCCATGAGCAGGGTGGCTGCCATCGCGGGCTCAAGGTTTCACCTCCCAGAAGAGAGAGCAGGAAAAGCAGCTAGCAGACAGCGCTAAAGGAGGCGAAAAGCAGGGCGTGAGGCACAGAAAACAGGCCCTGCCCACTCCCCAGGGCTGGAGTTCTGGCCGCCAGGCGGGTGGGGAGGGCCCTGGACCCGGGCCGGGTCACTCTCCTCCCTGACCCTCGAGTGCGACCCGCCCTCTGCGTCTCCGCCACCATGGGGCGGAGGCACTGCCGCAATTTACTAAGACAGCCCCCTAACTCGGTCCCTCCCGAGCCGGGAGCCAAGCAGATGCTGTCTCAGGGAGGAGGCGCTCAGCCCAGCCCACAGAACGCCTCCGCTCTTCCATCTCGAGGCTGGGCCCTTTCCGGCAGCTGCCTCAGCCAATCAGCGAGCGAAGCTCGCAAAAGGCTCTGCCAATTAGATGCCGAGCACTAGGCCCGCCTCTTGTAGCCTGGCTGAGCTCCTCTACCACGCCTGCGCCTGCCCCTGTGGCCTGCCGGGAGTTGGAGTTCCGTTCCGGCGTACAAAGGCCAGTCAGAGGCCAAAAGCCAAGGAGGGAAAAGAACAAAAGGGTGAAGAAAGAAGCGCGTCCTCCTAGCCAGGGCAGAATATCTTCCGCTTTCTTCTGTTGGGGACCACAACCTGATCAGGCCAGGGAGGTTGCCCTGCTTCTCCTCTGGTCCCTAGAAGTTTATCTTGAATTGGACCTAACTGCGACGTCGGGCCTAAATTAGGCGCTGGCCTGTGTTGGGTTCCGCTGGGATTAGCACTCATTTGACAGCACAAGCCTGAGAGGAAAGCGGCAGCCGCCCACTCCCTGGGGGAGACTCAGAGGCCGCGCTGGAACTTTGAGCTCCGCCCACGCACTACGCCTCCCGGCAGTGCCTGCGGCATTGCACCCTGCTAGGCAGACTACAACTCCCAGGACGCCCCGCGCCTCCAGCCGCTAGCAAGTGCGGTCAGCAGCGGGGCCAGGCTGTGTCCAGGCTCCATCGCTATTAACCCTATAGGCGCGTCCGACCGCGTCGTTCTAAAGAGGGTGCCTGTTGCGGGGCGGGCTGAGTTGCGCCCAGCGGGTGGGAAGCGAAAACCCAGAGGGCAGGCAGAAGCGAGGGTGTGGGATAGGGCGCGTAAGGAGGAGCGAGCCAGCCCCAGCGCTGGGAAGGGCCGTCCTTATCATCCCTGAGGGCTTGTCTGCTAAAAGGGTTCCTGGCGGCCTCCCGCACCGATGGGATCGTGGGCCTCTGAGGGCCTGAGCCGGGCGGGCCCTCGGGATGTTAGCAGTTCCTGACCGGCTGAAGGTAGGAAGCCGAAAACTCCAGTTGGGAACGAACAGACTTACCTCCTGTCCCGCAAAAAATCCACTAGATCGCCAGCTCCAAGATCCGAGAGGCCTCAAACAGATTCCAAATCCGCAGGCAGAGTTCTCTGAGACTTTAGGCGTTCGGAAAGGTTCTAGAGATCACTGGCAGATCCCGGATATCTCAGACCTCCAGGTAGATCTCGAATCCGTAGACTTGCAGGTAAAGCCCAGAGATCGTAGGCGGATCCCCAAGACTCAGATTCCCGAGACCTCAGACTCGCAGGCAGCTCAGAGAAACCGCAGGCTCATGGGCAGATCCCTAAGACCACAGGAGCTAGCCAAGAAACACCACTAGCAGCTAAACTGTATTCAACTGGAGTTCCTCCGAACGGAAGGGCTTGCAGCCTTCCCTTTCCCCAGCCAGGAGGAGAAAATTAGACAATGGAAGCCCAGGAGTAGGGAAAGCAGGCATTCTGCGTGGGGAAGAGCTCTGAGCTCGCTGTAGCCTTGGAGAGGGAAGTGATGGAAAAAGAATATAGCAGCTTATTAGGGACTCCCACCCTCTTCAAGTTATAAATATCCCCAGAACCTTGGCTACGTGCCCAGAAGCCTGTTGTCTCTTAACTGTACAGGAGACTTCTCTGCCTGGGCTGGGAAAGGGGCTTTTCTTTTGTTTTGCGGATACATCCACCCACTGAGTGACTTGAATTTTTTTTTTTTCCTGAACATGACTCCAGGCTATGCTTTTATTAGTGAGTGTCCTGTTCCCAGTGCCCAGTTATTTATGGTTAAATTACTCAAGTGTCTAAAAAGAACTAGGACCCTACCCAGACGTCAGGCAAACTCTCCCACTCCCATGCCTCACCCCCAACTGTGAGGCTAGGAATTCTTTAGATACCACAGAATTGTACCATCCTACCCCATCTAAAACTGGTATGAGTACCACAAAAAAATGGAATCATAGAGGATTCCCAAGAGGCAGTGTCCCTCTGTGGGGAGAGTATGAGCATCAAGGTCAGACAGACCTGCTTTGGAATCCAGGCTGTGTGTCCTTTGGAAAGTTATTTAATCTCTCCAGGCCCATTTCTTTTTCTGTAAAATGGGGTAATCATACCTAAGGCGGTGGTGAGCACTAAGTGATATGACTTTAAGCACTCCACACGGGGTAAGCACTCAGATGATAGCTGTTGTTATTATCAATCCTGCCGTTACTGGCAGGGGAGACTTCCAGAAAGGCCTGTGGATATTTTCACTGGCTCTGAAAATCTGGGAAGTCAGAGTGGCTCCATAGCTGTGAGGATCTGCTGGTGACCTTTTCCTCACATAGTGTTTCTGCTAGAAATCTAGAGGGAACTGGGAGCTGGGCCAGTTTGGTGGGTTCAAGCACATGGTGTAGTGAGCCCAGTAGAGCAGAGGTATTTGGGGCTGCCAGAAACCCAGCAAATTGAGGCTTCACGCTCAGGGAAACCTCTGGGACAAGGAGGAGGGGGATTGGTTCAGACTTTGGCTAAGTAATTGCAGGTTTCTAACCAGGCCTAAGGTGAGGCGGGCGCCTGAGCCCCTCAGCCCAGCGGGGTCCCTTTTCATTCCTTCTCTGACAGATTGCTTTGTAAACTTTCTGAGGCCTTTTCTCCCCCTTGCTCCAGTGCTTTAAGTCCTTCTTTGTCCTGTCGCTGTTTGCTGTTTCTTTATTCCTCAGGCCTGCCTGGGGGCAGGACGGCTCTCTAAGCGCAGCTTGGCTGCTTGCCTCCTTCTGTGAGTAAATGCTTTTCTCTTTCTTCACCTGGGACCCTCCAGAGAGTGGAGGAGAAGAGGCTGAGAGCGGATGGGAAGCAGGACTGCATCTGGTGCTCCTGGGCTGGGGATGGGGGGAGGGTAGTAGGGAAGAGGGGGAGAAAAGACAGTGGGTGAGGGGCTTCCTGTTGCAGCCTTCAGCTGGACTCTTGAGGGCTGGGGTCACTAGAGGAGGAGGTGGCTTCCTGCCCTATTGTTCAGGATTTCATAGTTCCTCAGGAATACTTATTGTATGTGGCTTTTCAATAACCAACTTGGAAAGCTGTATTTATTCCTATCATTCAGCAAACACAGAGCACCTACTGTGTGCAGAGGCAGCAGCACAGCCTATCACAGGAAAGGGGCCAGGAGAACCATTCAGCCAGGGTCTTCAATTTGGGCTTCTGACATCATCTCCAAATGGGGTTATATATTATATCAGCTCTACTGACCAATTTGATCAAAGATCCTCCTTGTATATCCTTAAACTTGTTTCTTATTAACAGACCATTGTGCCTGCAGAGCACTATAAATTATTATATTTTATTTATTTATTTGATTTTTATTTTTTGTGAGGAAGACTGGCCCTGAGCTAACATCCATGCCAATCCTCCTGTTTTTTTTTTTTTTTTTGCTGAGGAAAACTGGCCCTGAGCTAACATCCGGCCGATCTTCCTCCACTTTAATGTGGGGCGCCGCCACAGCATGGCCTGACAAGCGGTGTGTTGGTGCACGCCCGGGATCCGAACCCGGGCCGCCAGCAGTGGAGTGCGCGCACTTAACCGCTACGCCACGGGCCGGCCCCTAAACTACTATATTTTAATAAATCCTATAATTATCTTGTGAGCAGCACACTTATGTTGTAATTTTTGGTATCAGGAGCATTAATCTGTTAAACATTGAAAAATATGCCTCAATATTTGTGATCTTGTTTTGTCATCTCTTCATTTTCAAATATACCAGGAACATGAAAAAAATCAGAATGACCCAGGCTTCTTTTGACCCCTGCTAGGAGCAGAGATGAAGCCTCATCACAGCACAAGGAGTTGGGGACAAGGGGGACACACTGACTTATAAACAGTCATTGCAGTCCAACTGCTATCCTATACAGATGAGCTAGCTAGTCTGTGCCGAGGAGGGGGCGGACTCAGAGCTCTGGGGGGTAGGGGAGGAGGCTTCACGGAGGAGGTGACATCTGAGCTGGCTTGCAGAGACTGTAGGAGCCTTGGAGGTGGAGAACGAGGGGAGGGAAAGCATTCCAGTCTTCAAGAACAGCATGTGCGAAGTCACGGAGGCGTGAAAAGACAGATCGTGTTCCAGAATGGTCAGGATTGGGTAAGACTAGAGGGAAAAGTGGGGGTGGAGTGGCAGGGGGAGGAAGCAAAGCAGGGGCCGTCTCTTATGTCCCCTTGCCTGCCTGCTTGTTTGTCTCTGCCTTTGGCTGTGGCTCAGCAAAGCTGGTGATGAGGTGCAGATGGGGGGGCCGCCTAGGGGCTGGCCTGGGGTGAGAAGAGCAGATTGACTCTGCAGGAGGGGGTGTGTGGGGGGGTGCATTTCAGCTGGTTTTCTCCTGAGAGAATCAACATTTTCAAAAAATGTAAACAGTTGCATTAAAAATGTACAACAAACTTATTTAGTATTGTTTAGCCTACTTAAAGGCATCAAGTAGGCCTATGTTCACCAAACATGTTTACTGTGTCTCCATTCTGTACCAGACACTGTGCTGGGAGACAGGACACCGCCCCTCACGATGACTGCAGGGCTGCTGTGAGGATTAAATGTGAGAATGGCTGCAAAACGCATGGGCACAGAGGAGGGCCTTGGCACACAGCGGCCATCACTGTTAGGGGGGAGGTAAAACGCAACACAGATGCTCTGTGAGGTGAAGCTGTATTTCAGAGTGGCTCAGAGTATGAGTGGGGGCCTGGGGTTCAAGTCCAGATTCTGTCTCCTAGAAGCAAATTACTTTCTTAAGCTTGGTTGTTTCTGTAAAAAGAGTTTAGTAATACAATTCATAGAGACAGAAGGTAGAATAGTGCTTGCCAGGGGCTGGGGGAGGAGGAATGGGGAGCTGTTGTTTAATAGCTACAGAGGTTCAGTTTTGCAAGATGAAAGAGTTCTGGAGATGAGCCGCACAAGAACGTGAATGTACTTAACACTGCTGAACTGTGTGTACACTTAAAAATGGTTAGGATGGCAAATTTTATGTTATGTTTATTTTACCACAATTTTTTAAAAAAGAGTCTATTAATAGTAACCTAGTTCATGGGGTCTGAGGGTTAGTTGAGACAATATAAAGTACTCCCCTACAGTCACAGTAATAACAATAGCTAATGTTTACTAATCAGGTAGTTTGTGTCAGGCATGATTCTAATGAATTCTCACAACAACCCTCTGAGCTAGGTGCTATCACCACCATTTTGCATACGAAAAACAGAGGCATGGAGAAGTTACATAATGTGCCCAAGATACCCTGCCAGTAAATGCTCAATAATTAATAGATATTATGACACTGTCATACAAAGAAATCATCATCATTTTCATCATCATGGAAGAATGCAGTATAGTTATTAGAGTTTCACAGTGCTGTGGGAGTTCTGAGAACCATCTCTTATGTCCAGGGGATCAGAGAAGACTTCACAGAAGATGTGCATCTGAGGTGAGCCTTGAAGAATGGGTAAGATTTGGACCGAGGTGGGGAAGGGGAATCAGAATAGGCAACCACAGTTAGGAAGGTCTATCAGGTGTTCAAGTACAGGGCAGATACCTCCCTTAGGCTGAAGCAAGGGGGCAGCAGGGGTGGAAGATAAGCCACCAAAGACAGGCAGAAGGCAGAAGGAGGGGAGCTTTGAAAGTCCAACCAAGGAGTTTGAAATTTATTTGATAGCTGGTGGAAATCCACTGAAGGTGCTTGGGGGAATGATACTCAGAGCGATGCAGGGCAGATGCAGGTAAGGCAGGGGGTGCTTTGAGTTGGGAGGCCAGTAGAAGATCTTTGCATCAATCCAAGAAAAGAAAACCTGAAAGACAATGTTGATGGTGATGGCAATGGAGAGAAGAGTTGGACGAGGGAGAGACCATAGACTTGGTAACTGATAAAGTAAAGATGGTTCTAAGTAATGAACTAGTTGACAAAAAAGACAGAAGGGAAAATTTAAGAAAGAGAAGATGTGAGTTCAGTTTTAGATTGATTGGATTGAGAGGGCCAGTGGGGTACTTGCAGGAGATATCCAGATAGACATTTGGTGATGAAAATCTTGAGCTCAAGAAATCTCAGGGCTAAAGACAGAGATCTGGTATAAATCTGGATGAGACTACCCAGAAAGACTTCTCATTTTATATAGTATTTCAGGTTCCTGTCACTTTTTGAAAACATCTTTTACATTGGTCATAGGATCTTGAATGTACTTTTGTTTCCAAGGTCTTTTGGCCATGCCATCCCGGTGAGACCTCTCTTCCAACCCAAGCAGGTGGCCTGTTTCACTTCACCTAACCTTGTCTTTTTCCTCCTGTAAGGTAGCAATCTCCCCGTGGGAAGGCTTCCTAGGTGGCAAGTTAATGCCAACTCCCTTATAGCTTGCACCTTCTGCGTCTTTGATATGAAGGAGGAGACGGGGGTAAACTATGTGTTCCAGTCAACACTGTGTGCAGACTGTGTGACAAGGCAGAGCACAGCACGGCCAGTGTTGCTGGAGCACAAAGGGGTGGGGGTGCGGCAGAGGCCAGCTCTGCAGGCCTTGTAGGCCCTGCCAAGAGCAGTGGGAGAAATGGACGGTTTTAACTGGGAGTGGTAGAGTCGAGGGCTGTAACCCAATCAGATTTGCAGTGTTGAAAAGCCTATGTGGCTCAGCGCAATGGAGAGCATGAATTGGAGTCTCTCCAAAGTGGACACAGGAAGATCAGTTCGAAGGGTATTGACACCTGCTGACGGACACAGTCTGAGGCCTTTTCACACCTTTCTATGTCCTTTTGTGAATGTAGATGTGTACTGTATAGATATGTGGACTGGAGGCAACTTGTTCTTTTGCTGTTTACTCTGACTCATCTCCTTTGTAAACAGTCAGGTTATTGAGGGTGGAGATTCAGCTTTGTATTTTTTCCTATGCTGTAAATCCCTATGACACCGGGAGCACAATGGGTATTTAGA